TTACAACCCACCCACCCAGCCAATAAATAAATGAATAAATAAATAAATAAATGGATAAAATCTCCCCTCTGCGACTTTCTCACCTTCACTCTTGTCTTATCTGAGGCGAGCTGAACCCTGCAGGGCCATCACTGCACTCTGTCTCTGGCAGATCAGTTTACATAAACTATACTGAAGATCTCCTTAAAAGGAGTTACATTGGAACAAAGAGTCTGAACAGGATTGTGTCAATCAGACAAGAACAAGTGTGGGTACTGATAGGCTGAAACTAACAGTGACAGGGGGATAAATAAAAAACTAAAAATCCAACAATGTGTTTGAGGAGAAAGAAAAAACAGCACAAAAGCTTCATGTTTAAAATCTCTATTAGGGACTGGGTTTGATTTCATAGGCATAGCTCTGCTGCACATGTCCAATAAAAGATGCCAAAGAACATCAGAGGCAAAGGATCTAATTCTGGCAGATGCAACGAGTCGCTGCTGTTTAGATGACAGATTCATATTCACTGTTACTATAAAGCAAATACGGTGTACTGGCTCTAATATGGGGATATTTTTATATATCACACAGACTGCAGCACTTTCTCAAACTGTACCTTAAACTGGAGAGTGGTACACATGCAGTATTTATAAAATCTTAGTCACCTAACCCTCCCTTGCCAAGTTATCTAAGATCCCAGGTTTGATTTAACTCCTATCTTGAGTCATGGGGCTAAAAGACACATGAAAGCTGGATATGCTGCACAAGTCCAGACAGCACAATGGTGAGTCCTCTACACACTCAGAACAATGGGACATTCTTGGCTGTGTTGGTCCTCATTCCTGAGACTTCCTGACATCAGCTGTTGTGATATATGATCGTTTCACTGTGTGTCCGGTGCGGAGCTTACTACATACCCTGGATACCTGATGATTCACAGGCAAATGTACCAACAGCTCTCTACTGCAGACATCTGCTGCTGAGTACAGTATCAGTATTTATCTTTGTTGTTTTGAGTCTAGCTTGAAAAGGCACAGTATTACAAGTCTGCTGCCACTAGATAAGATGGGAAACCAAAGTTTCATGATGCAGTAAAATAAACCGAAGGTTGAGCATTTTCTGCAGATTCGTAAAAACACAGATAAACCTCCGTCCTCTTTTTATTGGGTTTCAGGGTCATTGTTTTATTGGTTCCTCGTGAGTCACATACCTACATTTCCATAGCGCTGAGTGGCCTGGGATGGGCCTTTGAATCACTGACCATTTATGGTGTGCTCACACACCAACATGTATGCAAGCTTCTATCAAAAACAGCAGTCACTACCTACAAGCCGAGTACTGCACAGTCTGCGTACCAGTGCAGTTCCCTGGCAACGCCTTAGCAGAGGCACAGCAGAGCGTGGTGCCCTGGGCCAAAGACATCAGATCCTATTAAGGCCACTTCTGCAGCAAGTCCCAGGGGATCAATGCACCTCTAATCAGAGATCCTTGACTCCACAGGCCTGGGATGAGGTCATCACCCTATTGATACTCTATCACTGCATGTTGCAGGTTAGCTGGTGCCACCCCACGCTGGCAAAGCTGAGAGGTCTGCACTCACAACAAGTTAAGGGAGATGCCATCTTAAAGAATAATTTGGATCATATTTTTGTTGGTTTGGCTAGTTTTTCTTCTGTTGTGAGAACGTTGTGCTCACCAAAGTAATTACTGAGATCTGAGAAAAGGGCTGCAGCCAACGGATTCGTCTTTATTACTTCCTAAAATCATAACTTCCCAGAGCTTAATGTGATCTCTTCATATTCCATGTTTCATCCAATCAACTGCCCAAAACCCAAACATGCTTAGTTTTCATATATAACTGAGAAAAGCCACAAATAATCACAAAAGAGATTTTCAGCGTCAGCGTTATTCCTTGAAAATTACTGGAACAATTGACCGATGACCATTTGATGCTGCTCTACGTGAAACAAAGATGCAACCACTGATTTTTGGAAGTGAACCAAAAGTGAGCACACCAAAATGTGCAATCATTTCTCATCAGGAACCAGGAAGTTGTCTAGATCTTTACAAACCTATTGTTTCGGTAAAAGCCTTACCGTTCACCTGTTTTCACTCAGGTTGGCAAACCTGGACGTTTGCATCAAACCTGTATGATCACTGATCACCCATCTGCTTTGTGTCTTGCGCTATCTGACTTGTTTAGCTAATTCACGTGTCGTTTCTCTTCAGCTTGCATTACAGCCTTATGAAATTTATTATGCCTATAGAAAATGTGAAGATGAAGCACACCGTGTTGAAGTTGGGCATGTATTTACCTGCACACATTCTTGTTTTGCTTGGCTAAAAAAGTTGTTTAAATTGTTCAGATCTACCTTTACTGACTGGTTATTCAAGATGGATAACCTGAGCTGACTGTAGCTAACTCGTAGCGAACCTAGAGATCCTGTCTACAAGAGCGACAGACTAAAAATTGATTCTGCACACTGCTCTCAGCTCTCAGTTCAGGATCTAACACTAGCTAGCAGCTGGTAGATGACAGAAACACTGCAGATGAATCAATTTCTTTGCTGTCTGTGCTCAAACTGCACACTGAAGTGGACGTTTGGATGTAGGTGAAGCATCAGCCACTGTAGGTAGCTGTATGGGATAGGATTTATTTTTAATGTACATCTATCTATCTATCTATCTATCTATCTAGCTATGATGGATAATGAGTGTGATGCTCCAAACATGGCACGTTTATCCAAAATTCAACACAGCGTGACATCAACTTTACATTCTCTATTGCCTGAAATGCTTCATTATATCTGCCACTGCGACTTTCTCAGATATATGCTCTGACTTTGATTAAATGTTTTTGGATCGGTCACCCTAGCTGAGATGAGGGACATGACCTTGGTGCGATGTGAGATGATTACACTGATGTTCCTCCCTCCCTCCCTGTGTGCATTTTAGTTCATGTTCCACAGCCAGATATGGCAGGACACATCTGTAACCTTGAAAAGATACATGGTACAGTGGCCTACTGTAGCATGTGCATGTGTGTATGTGCAACAACACTGAAATTACCTGCATATGAAATCAAAAAAGCTCAGAAGAAATCTTTCACTGCATGCCCACACGAGATGCATTCAAAGCCACAATATAGTCATTGGTTGCTGTGACCGAGCTAAAATCAACTTGCTCAGGGCACG